ATTGGCCCAAATGTCTCACAGTTTGAGTTTTAATAAGGTTGACAACAGAGGGTACCTCATGTGATTATTGAAACCTTCAGTCTTTGCTATTTTATTTCCCACAGGAAATACTTTGGGGTCACACTAAAAAGATCATATCTTTATTTCATATGATGAACATGAAAAATGTATGGAAATGGTCTTTCTTGAATGCTACAAGGACCTCAGGATTTGCTGATCTGTAAATGATCATTAGTGATGTGGTTGTGATGGAGGGCAGAGCAGAAAGACGCACACAGCAAGAAGGGAAAAGCGCAACTTCAGCTGCATGCAACCCAAATCCAACACCTTTTTATACATTTGCACAAAGGTGTGAAACTATTCTGAAATTCTGAATACTATAGAATAAGAAAATAACTTTTTTTCTATACTGGCACTACTTCTCTTAACCTTATCCCTATGTCAGTCAACCACCACTGCTTGTTTTCTTTGTCTTTCATTCAGAGACACAACAGCACCTGGTTGAAAACTTGACCTGTTTTTTTATGACAGGCTTTGGGGCGTTTTAATACTATCAATCATGTTAATAGATTTTGTATAGATTCATAGCCTCTGGTGCCAAAAGTGCTCAAAATTCAGACAACATCATTCTCAGGCACATCTAAAATCAGGGATAGCTCCGCTCTTGTATCTCATTGAGCACTCTGATTGATCTGATTGAATCAGAAACACAGCCAAACTTAGAAAAGAAAACAAAAACACAGCAAAGTGTGTTTTGTTTCTGTATGTCTGTGCCCTCTCCTCCACTATATGACCACAAGGTTCAACAGAGTATCGCTTCAATGGGAAGAATCTATGACCACAATCACACAGTGTGAAAATGTCAGCCTCCCCTCTCTCACCCTCTTTGTTGATGCTGACATTTAGCCCGGTCCAGAGGGGGGCTCACTATAGTACATGACATCAAAGACATCATACACAGCCACTAGATGCAGGGTCAGAAAGGTGTTGAACCATCTGATACAAGCCCACTTTCATACTTTGTATTGTCACAGGCATTTTTAGATTGTGTAAAAAAAAGGAGCCAGGCCTGTTTTCTCCTTCAGCATAGCATCAGTGTGCTCTGCTCCACCCCGGATGCTGTCTCCAAGAGACCAGATTCCCCTCTCTGCATCTTCTCCACCCCCTCTTTCCCCTCTTTTCTCTCTATCCCTCTTCATCACCCCCCCCTCCTCGTCCACCCATCACCCTCTCCCCCAGGTGGCCGTGGGGCCGGCCTGTCTGAAATGTGATAGGCATAATCCCATTTAGCCTAATTGCATCTGCGGGAGAGCAGCCCTATGTGTCCCATTGCGTGCCTACCGAACCCCTTCGAACACATTATACACACACACACATCGCATAGAAACCTCCTCAAAGCGAAGTTGCACATTTTCACACACATGCATAGAGGCATGCATGCTCTTGCAGGGGCTCCTGCATGTCACATGTCCCTGTGTAGCTCTTTGTCTGTTTCTCCTCATCGATAAAAGCTCCAAAAATGAAACACAGATCTCTCTCTCTCTCTCTCTCTCTCTCTCTCTCTCTCTCTCTCTCTCTCACGCACACACACAGTCACAGGCTGGAGGGTGTGCGCGCCCAGTCTGCATTAGCACAGACTAGACAGAGGAGTCAGACAACCATACTAAGAGGAGGGTGCTACAGTAAAGGGCCTAATGGAAAGACTAAGGCTGAAAGATGTGCGTGTGTGTGGGCGTGCACATGCTAACATGCTTCTGCCTTAGGGGGGCGGCGGTGCAATGGGTGATGGGAGATGATGCTGCTATAGGGAGACATGGGGAGCAGTCTGTTGCAAAGGGAGCCATAATGAGACAGCGCATTCTCCCAGGCAACTGCACACGTATTATTCACACGAGAGAGGAGAGCGCAGGGGCATTAGGGCCACTGACATAGCTGCACAATAATGATCCTCTTCAGAGTCTTAATGGAGGTCCAGTTGCATCAATGAAGTAGTTATTAGTGAGGTGCATTTGTTTAAAATACATAGCATGTTAAATATGCATTAAGCAGAATATTCCTCGCAGTTTTAGGTCTATTCATAACCTTATTCGTCCCTCTCTGCTCTATTCTAGTGCGTGTTCATGCATCTGGTTTTTATCGTGGTCCTTTTTGCAAGGAGGCTGTGACATACTGAGCTCCAACAGGCCACGGATCAATCTGCAACACAAAGGAAATCAATGCCCCGGAACTGAGTTACTCCGATAGGCTGAGTGCAGATCATTAGATTTTCCGTCGAATGAAGGACCATTACCATAAAACCAAGTCTCCTGTGGTGGAATTTAGCTGTATCCGAGAAATGTAATGGCTAGCTTGAAGATACAGATCATCACAAACATTCTTACCGGCAATGAAAAATAATCAGAATAATGACTACCACACTGTCTGGTTTTATTCTCCCTAAATGCCATGCTATCACTGGCAGCAAAAAAAAAAAAAAAAATCATGTGAGTCATAATCTGTGAAAATGAAACTATTATCTTGCAAATAATAAATAGGCCCACTCTGCATAATGTGATATCACACATATAGAGCGCCGTTCAGTACATCATATTCAAATAAGTCCCATATGGTCACATTGTTTTGGAGATAGGGACGAGAGAATGCTCAATCACCTGTTATTCTTAAGTGCGGATAAAACTGCAACGCCGCTTTTTCAAACGAGACAGCTTGAGTGTACCTCTCCTATATAAGAATAGCCACTACATTACAGAATCTCCAGCTGTTCCTTTATCCCCCTACTCAATCCAGTCATTAAAACTTTCACATCTTTTCAAACATTTGTTGAGGAAGCTGCCAAAACATGCTGTGATGTCTAAGTAGTGAACACAATTCACAAGGGGGAAAAAAAAAAAAGGAGGGAAAGGACCGGAAAATATGTAAGACGGGGAGGTTTGAGGGAGAAAGAAAGCGTCTGTGAGTTTCTTTTCTGCAAAAGTGTTAATTTCTTCTGGCCGTTCGAGACGGTTTACTCTAGGTTGCAGTGTGCATGTACTCGCTATGTGCTCTACATGGATATCCACCTGCATACCATGACCTCCGGGTCCTCGAGTCAAGGTGTGTGTGGGTGCAAATTCGATTACACTCCAGTTAAAGCAATTTCCTGCAGAATTCAATTCTTGTCCTCCGATGCAGGTGAGCTCCCCGCGGACGTCTGTGTCTTCTTGAAGAAATAAAGCACCTATAAACAGCAGCCTTAAAGGAGGGAAGTAGAGCCAGAATGCAATTAATATGCAAATTTAGGAGGGGGGAGACTTAATGGGGAGCCTTAACAAACATTTGTGTGTTAGGAGATAAGGCTGTTTTCAGGTTGTTTTCCTCTAACCTCTGCCTGTCCAAAGTCAAAGCCTTGGGGAGCTGGAACTCTTGAAAAGGCGTGGATGTTCGCTGGTAATGGATTATTGCACAGGGAGAAGCAGGGCAGTCTGGGGCTATGTTTTAGAAGCGAAACCCCGTTTGTCGTGTCACACAGACATGCAAAATGGCAGTGGGCTGACTGAAACAATCACTTTCTTCCTTTTATGTTACTCTGTGGCTTTCTTTTTTATTCCACGGGTGAGAAATTTGCTCTGAATCCCATCAGAGTCTGCCATGGGTGTTCATGGAGAGAGCGGAGGAGAGGAGGGCAGAGGGGAGGAGAGGTAGAATGAGTTGCCTGAGGCGAGAGATGGAGGGCAGCAGAGAGAGAGAGGAGGAGAGGGTGAGAGTGTGCATTCAGATTGGGAATTCATTTGCCATTTTCAGGACTAGTCGTACTTCAAGAGGCTTACGAGAGACATGGAGAAGCGAGAGATGAGGCCTCTGATGTGGAATGACATGCCCAGTGATGGAAAGAGAAGGAGAGAAGAACAGAGACGGCTATGAATCACAGCGATAGAGGAGCAGTGAGACCAACAGTTTGCAAAAAAAAAGAAGGGAGAATGAGACGAGAAAGAAAGATGGAGGGGTCTGTGCTGCAGACCCGCAGGTCGATGCTGCATTTGAGGCCACAGCGGTAATGTCTGATGGATCTAGCTCCCCAGGGGGACTCTACCCCTCTTTTCCATCTCTCCATCCCCCTTCTGCCCCCCACCCTTAATGATTCATCCACCACCTCCAGACCCCCCCCCCCCCTCCAAGCGCCTTCACCATGATTCACACCCACTCCCTGAGCTAAATTATCACCGCGGTCCCTCAGAGAGCTCCATCACTCTCCCTCCATCTTCGGTTATCATCAAACAAGTATATGAGCTGAGACCGGCTCCTGATTGCATTCAAGAGCCCAGCTCAGCAGTTTTTATGAGACTATGTGAGCGTGCGTGTTTGATCGCACACTCCAATGGGCTCACACACTGGTGGCTTTGATGGCACTTTTGCGGCGAGAGTTTTCCATCTTAAAATGCTTGAGTGTTTACAAGTGATGACGCAGTGTGGATTAGGAGGAGGGCAGTGTAATTCCACAGGCAGGACACTATAAATGTTGATTAGATGAAGGTTAAGTGGATGGCTAATCATCAAAGACCCATTGGTATTCTTCTTATAAAATTATTATTCATGTTGTGGCCTTAGTCTCAGATAAGAAAATGACACATGTAGTTCAAACAGATTGAAATTAAACTACATATGCAATGAAAAACGCTAAAGCAAAACAGGAAAAGACAGTGGTGCAAAAGCAACAAATTCTGAAGGGATAGATCTTGCGAAGAGTGTAAAGGCCGAAGAGGTTAACAAGAAGGTTGTTGAATTCGTCGCTTCATGGTTGGAAAATGGATAGTGCGCAGTGGCAGCGATCTCTGTGGATCTTTCTGGGACTTAAACATTCAGATGCTTCAAGATACAGAGCTGCCAACATGGCGGTGGCGTTCAGTCCTTAACGGGAGCTTCGATTCTGTGAGTGTCACGATCCCAAAGACTTCTACCCCTTATCCAAGCAATTCAAGTGTTACTATCTGCATGGCTAGACAGAGTTAAGTAGGGAAATATGTTTATTTGTAATTCGGGCGAAAACTTCTGCGGAACGCATCCGCACAGAAACACGGACCGCCCTCCCTCTGCCATCACACAGTCACACACCAAAACAGAGGGGGCGATCTGGCATGTACTGGCCTCATGATTAAAGTGCACCGCGCTCACCTGCCCAAGTCCAATCAGGGCCTGTGCTGATTGCAGCAGCTTGCTGGAGACAGGAGATGAGGGACTTGGATGGGGTGAGGGGGTTGGGGGCTCCATCACCGCTGAAGTGACAGTGTGGTGGTGCCATGGCAGGGCAGCAGGAAGCTGCAGCCTCAGGGAGGCTCCAGCTTCGCTCTCCTCTCCTCTCTCCTCTCTGGCCAGACGGGGTGAATCAATCATCTCCAAAGATGTCAGCATCTGCCCAAGCAATTTCAGATTGGAATAAATGGCAGATGGGGATGTTGTTCCCTCTGTTTAATCAGTTCCACCAAATGTGGTTTTATCTCTTATAAAATGAAACCATCTGTAGCACGTAGGTGTAAGGATCAAGTGAGGGAGGACGGAGGGAGAGGGTGACAGAGGGAGAGAGAGGAGAGATGTGTGTTCGGTGTGTGCGTGCATATGTGCATGTACAGAGAGAGAGAGAGAGAGATGGAACACTGTGAAACAGAAGCAGAATAGTGGGAGTGAAACAGAAAAAAAAGAGAAGCACTTATCCATTAAAAAGAGGGAAAATGTAATCTTACTGCGAGCTCACACCTCCACTCTAATCTCCTCTTTCTCCCTCACAGGAGTACCACCCAGGGGCCATCACCATTATATCTAGACCCATCTATTTCCTACCCCGCCTCCAACCAGACACTGGGGCTGTAATTTGGTCCCCCTAGCCCCAGCCGAGGCAGACACATCCCTGATAAATCCCCTTGTTTTAAACCCAGGGATGATAGTGTGTAAAGCATTATAGCTCTCAAAGCTCTTGCTTTAGGGATCGTCTGAGTAACACTTTACTTTAGGATGGCCTTATTCCAATTCGCTGTAAAACTAGGAAGAAGTCTTAGCAGGGTACACAATGAAACTGTGTTCCAGTGAAAATCCTTTGATTACATTAAGTCAATGTGAAAACTCAAGGCAGCAAAGATGTCAAAACAAGCAGCTACATCTGCACTCTTACTCTTACGCAGCGCTGTTACATCCTCACAAGCACATAATGCATGAGAGAGACTTCCATTAAGCATGATAAAAGTAAAGTGTTAAAAGGTTGTAAAAAAACGCGAGGCAATAGAGAGAGAGAGATGAGAGAGATAGTGTAAGTAGCTGTGTCCCTCTGTGTGTGTTCTTCACATGTTCTGGCTTATAGCTGTCAGTAATGAATGTCTGACAGGGTAATTCACTGGAGACTCTTCGCCAGTGAGATATCTTCACACTTATATCTTTAATATCTGTGCCGGGGAAACTGTATGCGCAATTATTTCGCCTGCAGACACGGCTCAGATTTTCAAATTTCATCTTCTTCAACAGTTCAAAATCTGCATAAACACAGATGACAAATTTGAAAGAAAGAATTTAAAATTAAATACAAAATCACACATCTCTAAAAAGGCAGACTTCTTATTCCCTGAGTGTCGACTGGAAGGCAGTCGACTGTGTCTAGACTGCCAACGTTGGGATTACACCCCTCGCCAACAACAAGTGATGGGCAAACTGTTCTTTGATCATTTTCTCAGCCAATCATCAAGCCTTATTTTTCCACTTGGCAAAAGATTTGTAAAGCTTAATTGTTTTAGATTCATGACAATTATGGTAATCAAAGAAAAACTGACAAATGCGTACAGTATGTCGGCATTATCATACTCTATCATTTAGAAACAGTATGGAAATGTTCCAATCAAACAACTACTTTTTGCCCTCATCTTCAAGGTGTAAATAACATATGAAATGTGATCTGCTCCTGATGAAATACAGAGACTTAATTTAATTACAACCACATATTATCTGTCTCACAGTCACTTTTTTCTCATTAATGATAATTCATCTAATTATTAAAATTAGACTGCATGTATTTCAAGTATTTCCACATTTTAGCCTAACTCATTCAAGTGTAACTACTTTTATTCTGAGAAGTTGGCTGATTCAAATCAGAATAAAAGAAAATATATTATTGTAAGAAAGTTTCTTCCCAAAGCTTCTCAATTAATAATAAAAAAGAGAGGGATGAAGCAGTATGTAAAAATCCTATTATCTTTAACACAAAGGATTTTAGGGGTACAAATGATCTACTCGGATTGGGTTAGACGGAATATTATAGTTTAAATTACAGAAAATGCTGTATCATTTAATCACATTATTTCATTTCTGGTGCAATTTGTTTTCATATTGTATAAATTCTGTATGATTTTGTGTGTTAATTTGCAAATCCAGCTTTTATATTAAAAGCTGCTTCAATGTTTGGAAAAAGATAAAAATGTTCTCATTCAAAACTCCGATCATGTTTTGTTGTAGTGTCAGAGAAAACACCAGGATGCACAATATACTTGTTCCCTATATTATATACTGTATCCCCCATAACAAAAGGGTTATAATTAAATTTCAACATGATTTCAGATTATATAAAGACTCCTCTCCCACCCTACAGAGACTCTCTCTATCTAGAACACCCTAATGTGACAGGATGTATTGTGATACAGGCTATTTGTTCCAGGGAAAGACTTCGATTAATGCTAAGTGCTAAACGTACATGATGAGATTCACTATATCTGGGCAGCACAGTTCACTTCCACTTTATTTTCTAGTCTAGCTGTATTAATTTTTAATATTAACGCAGCAGAGCAAAGCTGCTCCTTGTATTTCACAGACAAAGACACTACCTCTACCAGCATTTGAAAATGATTTCAGATTCCTCAAAAAAGTATTTTTAAACCTATGAATCATCACACGGTGATGATGCAGATGAGCGAAAGAAGAGTCACACGTAAGAGCGATGACACAAACATCATTTGGTGCATAAACGGTCTTCACTTTAGTCTTTAATCTGATACAAGGTGGGATAAAAGTGCTTCAGAAATGATTTGTTAATGACACTGTCTAGACATTGTTTTAATGTACTCAGAGGTGCTGCTGAGAATATGGGTATGTGCCCATTAAAAGCATATGGAGCCATTTCTAACAAGAGTGGGTAGAAGTCCAGTATTAAGATGGGATTAAAAAGGAAAAGATTAGACAAAATAAGCTTAAACCAATAAAATGATCAGCTCTGTGCACCACAACTATATATTTACTTTTCTAGTTTCAATTTAAAACTAGTACTTCATGAACACCTGAGAGTAAAAAACACCAAGATTTAGATGGAAAACTTCAGGTAGAATTGTACTCTTACAGTGAACTGCAACACTCCTGTGCACACAAAGTCTTTTCCTCATCCAAGTCCTCACGCAGCTGATGGGTAGCAAAGCACTAAGCAATAAAATCACACAGGACAGGTAAAGATACATCTGCAAAGGTGCAGCAACTCAGGATACTACAGCCAGACTCAAAATAGGCTACCAGCAGGCAAAGTTCTTACTGCTGCCACACACCAAGCGCAAGTAAAATCATTCGCGCGAATGAATTACTTGTTAAGTCAATGCAAAGACGCGAATAGATGCTGGTACTACTCTGGCTATGCAAATGAGGCGAATTGGGTGAATCTCAACTCGAACGGATATTCACATTGCTATAACTCCTCAGCACGAAGGCTGCCAGGTGACATATGAAAACGGATGGTTGTTCACTGGTATCTAAAATAGAGGTCAAACTGATCGAGTCGGTGTGTGGGTGCCCCAAATTATATGATACCTTTTCTTTCAATTACCGAAACCAGAATAAAAAGGAGCTCGCCTGAAGGCAAGTGAGTGAAGAGTTAGGATTACCTGGTAAATTGTAAAAAAAACCTTTGTCTATCACTTGATCCTGCCAGTTGAATTAGCAGGGATAACCATTGAAATTACGGTTGATATGCAAATGAAGCGATTGAATACTATTCATTGATGCGTCTAGATTTGCGTAAATTAAGTGAGTAGATGATTTTACTCGCGCTTGGTGTGAACGCCCCATTAGTCTTTGGCCAAACAGAACCAGTCGAGTCATCAGAAGCTCTAAACACAAGGACTTTCATTAATTGCTTAAGCTTTTCTGCTGTTTCGGTGACCTTGAATGACAAGATGATCACTCTGCTATCGACGAGGTGATCATTAAGCCTTTTCTTATATTACCATTCTGTCAGGAATGCTCAGTATCCAAGTAAGTTTGCAGGAAAAAAAAACAACAACAACTTTAAATTCCTCATTTGTAGCTCGGTCCAGAGTGGTGCCAGGTCTGCTTGACAGAACAGAGAGGTAATCAGTCATGTCCTGATAACACACACCAACTGTCTGAGAATTAGAGGACAGGAACCAGTTTGCGCTCTTCAGTCTGCAAATAGAGCCCATTAGCTACAGCGAGACATCCAGACACACCATCTGAATAATCACCTTGTGAAACCAGCCCCACTCGTCCTTTGTGTGCCACCATGTCCACTATTCTATTTCTATCTTTGCACCGCGAAGAACCAATTTGGGCTCCGACAGGCCTTGAGACATTCAGGTAGGCAGGAGCTGAACAGAAACGGAACAGGCAGCCATACATATGGATCAGGTCGACAGGCTGAGCATTAATGGCCTCCCTCTGGAATCTAAAACAGCGGCACAGGCCAGAGAGGAGCTCCTGAGGGAAATCAGAATACCAGCAGCCATTCAGGTCAGCTTGTACGTGTTCGCCGCGTGTTACAGCTCCATTTTCCTTCCCCCCACCACTCACAGCTGAAGAGACAGAAAGCCTTCTCTGAGGTGATTTATACGCCTGTATTATGTATTGAGTGGAGAGTATTGTTGACCGCTTTCTGGAATACAATTGGGTTTGTGTTGAAGGTGATGCGTACAAGGCTGAAATATGGTTTGGGTGAGAGGATTGATTATGTGTGAAGAAGTGCTGCCTTCAGAGGAGTGTTTTTGAACCATTTTTGTGGTAGCTAAGGGTCGCTGCTTTCTTGGAAACTGAAGCAGGAAGAAAATGGAGTAACGTTAAAGGCCCTAAAGTAGCACTAAAAATTTGACTTACTTCATTCTATATTAGAGCTTTTGAATAAATGACTTTTAGACAGTAAGGAGGAAGAAAAAGAAGCACTACATTATGGCATCTTAAAGCAGTTCTCAAACTAGAAGATACCCTTTTTATTTGATCTTTATCACAGGGTCTGCTCCAAACATTGTTAAAGACAATTCAACAGCATGATAATCAGATCTTGAAATAGTATTTTTCTATTTCTCAATTCAAAAAAATATATATTCGTTGTCCATAGCTCTTTAAATGACTGTTATTCTTATATAACAGAAATTATCTTTTGCAAATTAATGATGTTTTTGTGTCCAAACATATAACAACCCTGATTGTAAGATGACCCCCCTTTTCAAGACTTATTTAAATTATTAATTGAGACTTTTTTTAATCAACTTTTCGCATTTGAATAAATAAAATGTGTTAATATGTTAAATAAACCATAATTCATATGTCAGGTCCATAATATCTGAGATAACATGCAGTCTATCAGATAGATGGCAGATCTGAGAAAGGGCTTACCAATGTTTGGCTTTTCAGTTACATATTTTAGACATTACACTTTTTATAAATGAATATTAACATTTGATTTCTGAATCTTAAATATAAGATTATCCACTTTTTTCAGATGTGTTTTAAGCTAAAAAAAAAAAAATCTTTTATTCAGGTCAATGATGTGAACCCTTCCCTGACTCAAAGGTCTGATATGGCAGGTCAAAAGTGTGTGTTTGTGTGAGAGTGTGTTTGTTTGTCATGTTCACAAAATGGGTGCTCTGTTTCCGAGGCAAGTCGAGTGAAGGCTAATTCAAAGTTAAAATGTTTGACAAAACATTGACGGTGAATGGTTATGATGAAACTTTCGATAAATAAAAAATCTTCTGTACAAAGCTTGCGTTTCAACTAAAAAACTGGGAATTTTCACGAACATTTTGACCAACAAAAACATAAAAATCAAACACAAAGATGTGGATTTTTATAACACGAGTAACAACAATACTGCGTGCTGCTAGCCTTGAAAGTTGCAATTAGAAAAAGGGACTTTGTCCTTCCTTCTCTCAACTACTGTTATTACTCTTGATAGAGATTTCTCGACTTATCCATCTAACAAAGGCATGCTGTGATGTCTCGGGGCGCTGGTGAAAGTCATTCAAAGACGACAGAAGCTTACTGACTCAGGGTGGAGAAACAAGTCAGCATCAAACCACCACCACTTGCATTAGTGTTCATCACCTGATGTAAGAGGTGTGTAATTTTCCACTAAGAGTTTTTGTCTTACGTAAACTGTACAGATGCTTTGCTCACAGGCTCAATGATGTTATTCGCCTTTTTTTCTTTTCTGCTGCTTCACTGTATACGTCAGAGTTGAACCCATTTCATACTCCATTAAAGAGGTGGGTGTTCGGAGCAGAACAAAGGTCTTTATCCTCGCTTGTAAAAGAATGCTGACAATGTGACTGTCATAAGCAAGACTTGTGACCTTGCTGAAGTGCCATTCCCTCCCACACACATCATATCAATACTGCCTATGTCCTCAACACTCAGACTCGGGTTAGTAATGGTTTGTGACCAGGGCAAGAACATTAGAGAAGTACTCTGTTATCCATCAGAGAAATGATTGTATGGCTGTAATCACACTGTTATGGTGAAATAATGCAGACTCTATTAAAATGAATGACATTTTACATTACAAAGACGCCTGCGGGACTTTACAAATCTCTTTAATTTGTGGATTTTTGCTGTTAATGTTCATGACAAACCTGATAAGCTGATATTCTATACCTGCAGAAATGATTTAGTGTAAAACTGCTCTATTTTGTTTGTGTTTTAAACTGTTTTGCTAGCTTTTTTTTTTTTTTTTTTTTGGGGGGGGGAGGGGGATTATTTCTTTAATACTCAAAAACAGTGGTTACTAGTGGCAGTGGTACCAGCAAGACAGTTTTCTGGTAGGCTAATAAATTACTGGTATAGGTGCTTGAAGAAATATATGAACTGACAGACACAAAAAAGTAAGGCTAAGTTCATTATACCACTTTAAGTCTGAATTACTTCAGAATTAGAGCAGCAAAACTGACTAAAATGTGAATGTTCTTTTAGGATGAGGAGCTCAAAGTAATTTTACTCAAATCTACAGACCAGAACAGAACAGAAATTGCTTTCTGACAGCCTCACAGATTGTGGTATGGCTGTTTTTTTTGGAGTCAGACTCCCCAAGACAGCGGGTCACATTCCCAAACCCTGTTTGAATTACAACAATGACAGAACATGAATTCTGTGTCAGGGTAGATTCTCTCTGTTCTGCACTGATAGCTGTGTGTGTGTGTGTGTGTGTGTGTGTGTGTGTGTGTGTGTGTGTGTGTGTGTGTGTGTGTGTGTGTGTGTGTGTGTGTGTGTGTGTGTGTGTGTGTGTGTGCATGTGTGCATTCACACTTCTTTGACTCAACACATCTCATCATAGACTCCACCGGTCACCTCTTTTCTCCTCACCCACCGTCCTGCCATCCATTCCCATCATGCTTCTTTGCTCTGTCTTTATTGCTGTTCGTAGAGTGTGTTTGGGCGTGTGTGCCTGCTATAGATGAGGCAGGGATGGTTATGTTTTGACGGCGGCAGCGGCAGCAGCAGTAGCAGCAGCAGCAGCAGCCTGTGGAAACAAAGGCAGAGTGATTTATAGCCTCGTACCGAGAGCATAAATCACACCTGCAGTGCCGCGCCTTTAAACGCCCTGCGTCCTGACAGCATTTACCTTTTATAAATGATTGGGCTGAACCTCCCATGGAGCCTGGGACCACAAAGCTCACTCACTCCCCATCTAACTCTTCCTTTGTTTCACCTCTCTCTCTTTCTCGCTTCCACTGTCTCGTTTCATTTTTTCTCCCTATCTATCCCACATGTCATTCTGTCTCTTTCTCCCACATCTTCCTGCTTCTGCCTTCTCTGTCTCTGTCGAAGTTTCACCCTCCTCCTCCTTCACTCCTCCATCCCGCTATCTGTCCCCACCATGGCCTCCCTTTCTCTGTTTGCAGGGCATGATGGGATGCTCCCAGTGGCGCCTCACACTCCCCTCACCCAGTGTCTGTAGGGGATATATAGCCAAAGCTGCTTAAAAGGCGGCAGCGCTGCCACCACATCCACGGCCGTTAAGGAAATGAATGTGTCAGTCTCAGCCCTATCTGCCTTCCTCATGACCACTTTTGTGTGTGGCAAATACATAAGGGGGTAGGGGGGTTGTCGTAGGATAAACGGCATACACACACACACATTATGGCACACCTGTGTATCATGGAAGGAGTGTGAGCCGGGGAATACACAGGCCCAGCTGCAGGAGTGTGGCTCCAGATAAAGGTGACGTCTTGAGGCCATTACTTATCCAGCACAGCGGCGAAGGTTTGCAGATATTATACCTGCTGTCTCCACATAATAGCTCTGGGTTGGGAGCCACACACACACCTACTAGCACACACAACAGGGTGCACATACACAGACAAAACAAGCACAAATAACACTGCTCACAGACAGGCATGCACAAAATTTGGTATATTTATACACATATTCTTGCTGCTAAATCACACACACACACACAGGCGCACAGACGCACTCTGTGCGATACCTCGCCTCGCTGAGTTAAAACAGATGAAAGAGCTGGTAAATGAAATCTGACTCAACAGTTTAAAATGCAGCACTGCAGCGCAGCGAGCATCAGTGGAACAAAACGACAATATTTCTCAAGGCTGCCACAGTAAGAACCAGCAGGAGCATCCAAATAAGGGTTTGTTTTAAGATCTCTCTTTTCATTCGAACACTGCATGCAGCCAGCGAGGCATTTTTTCTGTATCCTAAAAAATGATTTGCATGTAAAGTACAGAGTACAGTTGTACTCGTCTAAGAATAGTGGTTGCACATTAGGTGATCTCTTTCAAAGTTACAGCACTGTCGAAACAGCATGCAACATGTGAAGTGGGTTTGAAAAGGCTGCTACTCAGATTTATTTTTAAAAACAGTTGGATTCATTTCTCCAAAAAAAAAAAGGCTCAAAGTGAAATGTTCTGCCATATTCCTTTCTAGTCTGACAGATAATAAAGTGTTTAATGAAACCATTTCATGCTACATCTCGGTTTATAGCTTGTATCAGATCTGCAGATATTCTTTGTAAAGGTAATCTTTTCCACAAATAATCTGCAATTTTTTATCATCAAAAAAGGAAATAGCATATCAATTTAACATAGATGAGCATATTTTCAGATCCTCTCAAACTTTTTGTACAAATTAAATGAACTGCTAACTTCCACCTTGAACAGAAAGCATCTCCTCTGTCCCTGCTTAAAAAATGCACAGTGGATTCATACCATCCATGCATTAGCGCTTCATTTAGTCCCAATTCCATCTGTTAAATCCTTACACACTTGATCTTCTCCCTCTAGCGCGGGGTTCTCATACAGTTCCAACTTTTCATGGCAGGGAATGAAAAAGAGAGACCCGGACAGACAAGATGAATCGAAACCCAGCCAGTCATTTCAGCTCCAGTTTGAATGTGACAGTTGTTCTTTGTATTTGCGTTGGACGGTCTACAGTGGAAACGAGAGATGCCCTGCAAATGTGAGCTATTCTGCTGCCAGGATGACGGTTGTTCTACTGTAACTGAGCAGGAGCCTGTGCGTGTGTGTGTGTGTGTGTGTGTTTATCCGTGTCTGAGTGTGTGTGGAAAATAAATATCGGCACCCTCACGGTGAATAAAGCTTTGCAGATATCCTCAAGGTCTAAAGAGATTTTTTTTTTTTATCTGTACCAGACAATCATGGTATAGGTTTATGAAAAGAGTCCATAAATGGCAAAGCTTTATGAATTAGCGTGAACACGGTAAGGCATTTATGTTGTTGGCAGAGAGAGCTGTTTATCTACTGTTATGTATACTGTTATGATGCTGATCAACAGGGAGGGAGATAAAGGATGGCGGCTTGTCGTGGAAATCAGCCGAAGATTGACAGTTGTGACTTTTTTTCCCCTCGTGGAACCAGAAATGACTCAGTCTGTAAGTGAGACTTGTAATAATAGAATACAGCAACAAAGAGGAAAAACAAACTCAGACGTTCTTGTCCTCGGAGAACAAGCCAAACCCCTCAGCGGAGGCTAAGAGGCTAATGTTTGCGCCTCTATTAGCATGCCCCGCGTTAGCCTTGCAGAGAGGCCTCACATGTAGCCGACCTGACCTCGGTGTTGAAAAGTACACCTCGACACAGAGTCTCTGAACCTCACCTCGCTCTGTCTGAGGTAAGGGATCAGAAGAAGCAGTGGACCACTGTAATACTGAGCTGTATACACTCCACGCCTCTACCTCCACCTCCACCTGCCCCTCTTTCTGCTGCCCGGGGTTAATTGGTTTGATTGCTGCCCCAGGCTACGGTGGATTCTGTGGGGGATTTTAAGCTTAGCAGTCGCTGAGGCACACAAAACATTCAGATGGTATTAATTAACGATTCATAGGAGTCCAGCCCCTGCCTGAGGTATGTGTTTACCTCATCTCCATCACCCCCAGAAATATCTCCTTTTATAGTTACCAAAAGCTGTACCTCTCCACCTTTCACCCTTTCAGCTGTGGAGTCAAATCAATGTCAAATCTGTCTATACAGATGACATTTCTGGCATTGTACGTAAAAGAAAATATTTTAATTTGACAGCTGAACAACCCCAACTTTTCCAAAAAAAAAAAAAAAACAATAAAAATGGGCAGCACAAGACATGAGGAAACGCTGAGCGTAGCTTGAAAGGTATGAAACTACAACCGTTTGATGGTGGAATCTGATGCGAAGTAAAAGGCATGAGCTATCGTTTAATGAGTTGGTTTGCCTTGAGATTAAAAAGTAAAACTTTCCTGAATTAAGTACGGTTTGACCTGTGCCAGTTTTAAGCTCCAGCTTGCTGATTAGGTAGAAATACCTCTACTATCAAGGAGGATTCTTCTTAAATCACATTTCTAAAGAGTTTCTGGACTCCCGCTTGAGTTAGCCAAGATAATCTGGCAATGACTGAGGTGATGCTGCCCTGATATGAACCATTAGTGGAATATTATATTACAGGAAATCTGAGGCCCATTGAACACTCCAAGCAGTGCCATGCAGTGCTGCATTTTTAAGGGCATGGTAACAGGAAAGATGTCAGGACATCTTAACCTCCACCTGCGCCGTGTCAGGCTAAAATACTACAGCTGGAACACACACGACTAAATCATATAAGAAACTTGAGGAACTACAGACTTAGCAGAAGCAACTGAGCCTCATAATGAGCATGCATCGACACCTATATAAACAATCCTATCCACTCTGACACAAACAGCGCTTCTGCACAATATTTCTATGATAACGCTGCCTGTTTACACTGAATTTAGTTTCTCCTCCTCCTCCTCTTCCTCCTCCTCCTCCTCTCAAGCTGCACCTGCTTAAGTCTCCAGCCCTGCACTATATAGCTGCTATACATTATGTGGCTCAACATCACAGGTAGGAAAATATATAAATAAATATAAACACTGGCTCTGGAACATGTTTCCCCCCACTTCCATCCCTCCTCTCCCCTACACTGAGAAGTAATGAGGGGCTACCTGTAATTACAAGCAGCTGCTGTCTTCCCTGACGAACGCTAATTGCCAATAATGATTTTGGAGAGCTGTAAAAATTCACCGGCTGACGCTCTCTCCCTCACTTTTCTTCCCTCTCTCCCTCTCTCTCTCCCTGTCTGTGGTTTGCTGTAGAAAAGGGAGAGAGAGAGAGCGAGGCGTCGGTGGGTTTCTCCTCTCCCTGCCTGTGTCACAATCAGGAGTGCAGTTAGCTAATTTCTGTTGCTGACATATCAGAACCCCCTCAGTCGCCTGTTTTCTCCGTCTTTTCACCTTCTCCCTCGTCTTCCTCCTCACCTGTTTGCTGTCTCCTTCACAGGGGCTGATAACAGCTTTATTAGAGCTATAATGTGCAGGTGGAAGTTTAAAGGTCCCGTATGAGCACAAGCAAAGGAACAGAGGGGGAGTGTAGACGCGAAAGGCTCGGGTGAACGGGTGAGGTGCCTAATAAGCCACATGCATAATTAAAAGACAACGATGCCACTAATTAATGAATGCTTGTGTTTGGCTGCGCGTCGTAATGGAGACGGCGACAGTGTGAGAGAGTGTGTCTGAGGAAAATTGAATTAGCCCACAAAATAAGGAAGCTGAATACTGGCAGAGGGAGCAGCTCAGTGCAGCTACCAGCTTCCAGCTAAGACTCTTATTTTGGTGGGAACTTTTTAACTTTAACTATTTTTAGATATGTTTGGAAGTAAACCTGAAAGTCATTCCTCTCTTGCCTTGCACTCGAAGTTTTTTCTGCAACATTAAAGCCTCTAAATGTGCCCTAATGACTTTTAAAGTGACTAACTCTTGATAATTAAACCACAAACTGTTCAATTTATTTGAACTCCATGCAGCCATGAACAATAAAGTTATTAAGACTCAGACCACGCAACATCAATCCTCTCATTTCAAACCACTTCTATCTTTTCTTCAATCCACTGACACTGAAAATTGGAGGCTTTCAGTATGAAACAGAAAAAGGAGAAAAAAAACAGGAGCGTCCATGCTTTTCATCTTTATCTCCTTGGGTACTGAGTGTCATCTTGTCACAAAGATAAGCGTTCAATAACAGAGTGAACAAACACATTGATAGAGCTGCATCAGTGCGTAAAGTCCACACATGAAAGAGTCTGCAGGTCAGCTTTTATGGCGGTGAAACTGGCCCACCTTATGGCTGTAATCACAGGCATTGTAAAGGTGACTTCAAAAATCAAGAGTTCCCATAGTTCTCAGGACACTGAGCCACGAGACTATGACGGGAATCAATGCGCAATCAAAAATGTACCTTTCTGCATCGACTTTGAGGTAAAGGACACTAAAACTACCAAGATGTATAGAGTACCAGACTTCAGCAGGTGGAGATCCAAATTCATCTAAAATATAATAATAACTTGAAAATGTGTACAATAAGAAAGTTTTTCAAATATCAGGTTTGTAATGTCCTTTCATTCATATTTATTTATCTCTCATGACCCCACTTAGCCCCACGTTTATAGTATGATATTGTAAACTCAGACACAGCCGGTCCTTGTAAAATCCAATAAAATTATAACTTTGGCTAATCTGCAATACTTCCTTTGCAGATAAGAACTTTAGTCTTCAAACACCTTGCACAACTTCTGATAAAACACATGAAGAGTAGTTCAGTAAGGGTTTATAAAATTACAGCTGACCCAAATGAGTCCCAGAGTCAAGCTTTCAAATGCTTCTGTTTGGTTAATATAAAAAAAAATATTGAGTTATTAATTAAACAATTTTGAAATTCAATATTACATAGAAATTTTTTTAAATCGTGCTTTGATATTGAAAACAAAAAGTTACAAAATTGATCATTTTTACTTGTAACAGATGCCAAATTTTTTGATTTTTATCCATTTCTGAATAAATCACGATCATATAAATCCTTACTCAAGGTTGAACTATAAAGAATAAAAAGATTATTCCTGACTCCAGAGCTACACACATTAAAAAGTTCTACTGACTGGATTAACTAGTGCAGATGAATTTGGAGTTTACTTCAGTGCGTGGGCTGAATTAAAAAATAAAAGGGTCTGCCTTCTGTTAACAAACCTAATCACCAGTAGCATTTCTCTGACTTATATTTATTCCCACTCTGCTTTGATCATGAACTGCTGCTTTTATGGACATCTGTGCTCGTGGAAGAGACCTTTGAACACCCTAAACTGTGGGAACCTCTCGCAATAAAACGCTCTTTAAACACTATCTTATCTGGGCTGGCTTGAATAGTTTACATGTTTATTGTTGTGCCGCTTATTGCTCTGTAATAATTATGTGGTTGTGAGTTTCTTTCTCTGTGAGAAGGACTTGTCGACTGCCTGGACTCATATCGACGCTGTGATTCAGGGAAGGATATCTTTATTTCATTTTCAAAAGCAGAAAATTACTCAGAGCTTTTGGGAGGTAATAAAACAGCGTGATATCACACTGTTTGATTGTCTCATTGTTTTCTTACTAACGTTGCTCAACACTCAGCAGCTGTGGCCAACTTCTTACCTCCTTTTTCTCCTTCTTTAAAGGGTAGGCGACCTGGAAAAGCTGCTTTGGTGATTTTATTATTCGGAGAGCTCGGGTTTATATTCACAAAATAGTTCAATAAAAAAAAAAAGAATAAAAAATACTGCGTGTTGCAACTGGTAAAAAATAAGAAGTAGATATAGTGCAAACTGTTACATTTAAAGCCAAATCCCTCATCTTATACAGTGTGTGGGCTTCATTTCTCTGAGTAGGCTGGTGCAAAAAGTCTCAACAGGCTGAACCAGTTTAGAAATATTCCCCACAGCCGGCTCCTTTGAATTTGAATATGGTGCCTGATATTTGGTATGTAATAAGGACCCTGCAGCCTTTTCCCTCTCAGTGAGCAGTGAGGGCCTGTCTCTCTGATAATACCATGCATGGATAACTGAGTGAGACGCCATCAGATACAGGAAGCAGCGGGCTTAAGGGGGGGAAATGAAAATTTATTTGGAGGCAAGAAGAGTGAGGGCGGCAAAGGAGGAAAAAACGGTGAGGATAATTGAAACGGGGAGCGTTCAGTTGGGGAGAGAAATTGAGATGTTGTCACCAAGACCTCCTTATCATCATCGGGGCCACTGCGCAAAAGCAATTAAAGAGTCAAAAAGAATATCTGGGGTTATGCAGGAAGCAGGAGAGCAGAACGCAAGTCAACAAGGTGCCCTGTACACACAAAACGCACTCTATAACACACACACCAAAGAGAGGGGAATGGGACCGACATGTTTTAGTTCTTTGTTCTTGTATGACAGCTATAGTAAAGACGTCTCAGCCACACACTTATACATTATTTTTTCACTGAATACCACTGAGGCACCCCTGAGTGTTCTTCCCTACATGTTTGGAGCACATGTGTGCCATTTAAAAATAAAACATGTTTATCTTTGCATGTTTTCATGACAGATTTTTGCATTTCTTCCATGCACAGCCCACAATGTAACTTCACTTTCACAGTTAAAAATAACAATTGGCTGAATTGAAATATGTACCACATTGTGTACAATGATGGCATTAGCTGCTGCCAAGTTGCTCTCACTGTGGTACCATATGAGAGACTGCGGGTGCAATTTGTTTTTCCTTTTTTTTGTCTTATTGTTTTGGACAGAAACTACGGTATGGGAATAAATGTAGCTAAAAACAAATCATTTCCCCTCTAAAGCAAACTGTCGCCTGCTTTTATTCTGCTGTAATAGTGTCCGTGTGAGAACCGCAAAAGTCAGGGCTATTGCAGGTTTCACCTTGGCTAAATAAATGATCAAAAATGCAAATGAGCCCCAACAAGTACAGAGAATATTCACAGTTTTTTTTGTTTGTTTTTTTTTGTTTTTTTCATGGTAACAAAAGGGGACAATGATGAGGGTTTAACAGTCTCACATATTCCCATGTCTGATTTTCAGGGATGTTCTGGCAAACCTCAATAAGCTAAATCTTGTCATTTCCTTTCTCCAAATTGAATTTCTAAGGGGATTTAAATGGGCCAACTATGAACGATGCCATGGGCGAGAACGCTCAAATTACCAACAATGTGGAGAAAAATGGGTCTGAAAGCAGACAAGAGGCACCAGGGGGTTTGAAGATGTGGGTAGACTGATGCACTTTCACAGACAATTCATCAAAAGCCTCTTCTTCTTCTCCCTCCTGCTTTCTACGCGTAAGCCGGCCACTTCTCTCTCCTTTGCTTTACTTAAAACAACCTGTCTGATGATCCCGTACTGTTAGAGTGAGGCCATATTTCTAGTACGGCAGATTTTTAACTTTGACCAGAAGGGAGAGAAAGTGAAGAGAAATATTGCTGCACTGCTGAGATATTTAAAAAAAGGGGGAAAAATAAGGAAAACGGGGGAGAAATTGGGTTTTAAAAAAACGGCAGGATAACAAAGAGATAACTGGAACGAGTAGCGACAGACAGAGAAAGAGAGAGAGAGAGAGAACAAGAACAAGGGAGCGGGTGAGAGGAGAAGAGCAGAGTGGCGGTGGCTCAGTGGGGGGGCCCATAGTAATGAACAGGTGGTGGGGGGAAGAGAAGGTTAAGCCTGTTTCTGTGGGTGTCGCTGGAACCCACCCCGTGCTGTGTGGACAGATGTGTGGACGGGCCTGCTAGCTAGCTCTCCCCATCTCTCTCCCCTCCCCTCCTGCCTGGCCGGTTGCTGCCAAAGCCCACTAGCCTGTGCTCAAAAACTCACTCATTTATCCGCCTTTGTTCTTTGTTATTTTTGGACTCGGACGCGGCGGCGGAGGAGGAAAAAAAATTGCCTCTCTCCGAGGAGAATCACGTTCCTGTCTCCCCGTCTCGTTAGCTTCCGTCCGCGTACGATGCACAATAATGTGACATTTGGGAACGCTGTGATGTTTGGTTTTGTTGTTCCGGCGCGGATTTTCAACTTGTCTGCCTGTGGCATATAGGAAGAAAGATTAGGAGTGTTAGTTGCTTCTGTTTGAAAAGCCAGGTGGCTAAGGGAGTCCCAGACAGGTACTATTCTAATGAACACACACGCTTATACTGTTGTTGCTTCAGGCCTGTTGACAAGCAGAGAGGAACAGGATGTTGTCACTCAGACCTTCCACTGGGTGTGTATATGTTACTCGCGAGTGAGTCGTTTGACTGAGGGCTGTGTGTGACAGGTGTTTCCTTGTTTGTCTATCAGACTGGTTTAACATCAAGGCAATGATTTATAATTTATCAATGAGGCACCCAGAGGAGAGAGTGGAAGTTCAAACTCTCCAGATAATCTAAGTAATCAAACTGTCATTTAGCTCTGAAGGCACTCTCTGTTCAAAAAGTAAGAAAAACAGCAGAAAGCAGGGAGGATGTGTGTTTGTGTGAGCCTTTCTAGGTGGAAATCACCTGTGTTGGCACAGCAGAGGCTGTATTTTGTCAGTGCATAGAGAACTGGTCTGCACCTGTTGTCACACACACACACTTACACACACACAAGGCAGACACACACAGATGAAAATCAGTTGACAGCATGGCCAGCTTCATCAGATGTGCCCACTCCTGTTCCGTTCATTAACGTCCAACCGAAGGCGGCTGGCCTGGGGCCTACTGCAAGTCCCACTCGGCTAAACAGCACCCCCACAAAGCAAACACGGAGAGAGAGACAGACATGAGAGCTAAAGGAAAGACACTTAAACGAAGTAATGCACAACATTTGATTATTTAACCGAGTATACCCATGCAGCTGGCAAAGAGGCAGACACAACGGAAAGAGAAAGATACGTGCAGACAAACAAAAACTAGCGTTAGCTGAAAAGATTGGCGAGCACATCGGTAGCCTTGGTTTTGGAGGTCAGCTGGGAATTTGGGATTGGCGTCGCCTGTGTGACGCCCACACGCTCTGCCCGTTCTCCCTGGGATGCCAGCGCCACCTGCTTACATTGTGGATGGCAGCTTTGGTGCCCAGCAGGAGGGCTGGACGGACGGACTCACAGACAACATGTTTCGGCGAGTTTGTTTGGAAACCTGCGGCCGCCCAGCCAGAGAGAGGAAAAACTTTGGGAGAGAGGGGTGAGACAAACAGAAACAAGAGAGAGAAAAAGGGGGGCTTGATTTTTCAGGAGTCTCACTCGGGCTCAGTGTCTGAGTGGTGAGACGTGCGACAAACAGTGACCTGAAATGATTGGCAAGTCTGTTATAGGCTGACAAAAATCCAAGTGCGAAGATTTTCTGTGGGGAACGGCTGTGGCAATAAGCCATTTTAACACGAAATTCATCATATATTCAAACAGCAATATCCAACTCAAACCAACATTATCACACCATATGAAACCGTCTGACCAGTAAAGGAGAGCTGCTACTGCTTTGGCCGATATGCACGCTAACATTTCAAACCTGTGGGAATGAGAAAAGAGGTGATTTCCCAAAGCCTCCCACTTAGAGTGAACTCTTCCTCCACCATCAGCATACAGAGTCAGCACCCTGGCATGACTCATAACAAGTGATACAACCCTGGGAGAAATAAACATGACATCATCACTGCCGCCATCATCACCCAGCTTTTCTGTACCATCATCATCATCTACCTACCACGACTTCCTGAGATGAGCGAGCAAAGCCTGGTGGGGGGATGAAGATGCTGAAATAGCTCACATTGTACGCCCTATTTTTATGACTTATTGGAAAGCTATCCGAGGGCAGCAGTGAAGCATGTGTGTGTGTTTTTCCCCCAAGGCGAGGGTGAAGAAGGTGTTAGCGAGAGAGACGAGAGCGAAGGGACCGGAGGGGAAACCACCTGCGGAGGAAAGGAGAGCATCGGGGCCGGAGAAGATGAAAGAGGGAGGTTTTGAAAACTTCCTTCAAAGCCCCACCGAAAAGGTAAAAAAGTATCCCGGAAGACACAGAAAACCGCACACTTGCTGTATCTAGAGGTAAAACATCCGGTGTCAGAGGAGTTTCTGAGAAGGCACATCTGACTCTTTTATTTTTTCACTCCTCTCTTCGAGGGGTTTCTTTTGTTCTCACAACAGCTCCCATACAGGAAGCCAGGGCGGGAGATGAACATGAAGTAGTTTCCTTCTTCGAAAAATAAAAGCGTCTTTCAAAGATGTTGAGGTTTTCCTGCTCCTACGCAATGTCACAGCAGCTCTTTGAAACATATATTCAGGAGATGTTGATGTTGCAAACAAACAAAAAAGCAAGTCAAACAAAGAAAATGCTTTTTACTACAAGGTCTGACATGCTCAGGTGATTATTTCATTCACCTTTTCTTCTGTGCTGGTCAATGGAAGTGAATCGGAGCTGTTTTAATGAAAGAAAAAGTGCTGGAAAAATCCCCTTCATAATACAAACACAGCTTTCATATTTATGCACAGCCATGACAGCACTAATCAATCATTAATATTCAAGTGCTTAAATCCTCCTGGAACCAGGCATGCTTACACACATACACACACACACACACACACACACACACACACACATCTTCACACAGAGCAGAAAGGTCAAATGTATCTTTCATCTGTAGACCTCTATTAAATATGGAGGATGATGCATTAGATTCTCTATCTGGCTCTCAGTCAAAACCAAACACACATTGTAAGTATGGAGGAGTATGGGCTGTATTCAATATAAACTCTCTTACATTGCATTATAAATGCATGATCATAAATAAATGATGATGCCATGAATAAATGATTCAAACATCAAAGGTCAATGAGAAATGTAGAATATTTATGTATATATTTTTCAATTAATGCCGGCATATTTGTCAAATTTAAAGGCTTTTAGTTTCTCTGATTAAGATATTTTGGGCCTTGTTTTCAAAATATTTTAAAAACTCAGCAGACTATCATAGTCACTGCAAACTTCTTAAATCCATTTTAAGACCCTTTTTAAGAGAAAATGTCATACTTTTTTTTTGAAGAAACAGCAAACAGCACAGTGGAATAATACTGATCTAATATCCAAAGTTTAAAAGCCTTTCCTGAAAGTAATCTTGTTATCGTTATTTGATCTTGCCAACCATTGCCTGTATTTGTCACCCTTGAAGTTGCATTTTCTCATCTCCTTTTCTTCTCTTGTCTGATTGCTGTTTCTGACAGCATACGTAAGCGGCTGCTTACGTGAAGTGACTAGTCATGTGGACATGTGAATCCTCTAAAAAGATTAGATGGTGTAGATTTGGTGAATTATTCACCAAATCTTGAATTCACCTCAAATTCAAGACCTCTCACATAAAAAAAATAAGGCCTGGACAATTAAAAACCTTCAAAATACATGTTTTCAAGGATTTCTAAGGACTTGTGATAACATAATCTAAAATGAATCCTTATTTTTCACTTTTTTTCACAATGATTAAATACTCAAAAGGTTTTGGTGCCTTGACTAATGCAAAACTTTAAGGAAATTATGTTGGGCTTGGAGACTAATCATTTCTGAAAACTGATAGACAAAAAAAAACCTACAAGAGATGAACTGAAAATTGAAAAATAATTGTTGAAAGCAGGCCTATTTCTTTGGATTTAAGAACGCTGCACTCTTATTTGTTCCTTCCTCTCTACCTCTGTCTTGAATTTAAATGTGTATTGGCACTACAGTAAAGCCAAAGCAGGCTGTAGGAAGCCAGGTAGTCTTAAATCTTAAAAGATAAAATTCTGCACAGCAGAACGAACTGAAGAAAAATAAAATCCATACTTATATGTAGTCATTATTTTGATTAAAAAGGAGAAAGAGAAATTACATCGCTATAATTGAATGTGAACTGAGAACATTTTTCTCTGTCGGTCTTCAGTCTGCCTCTCTCACTCATATCTTGTTAACTTGCTGCCAACAGCAAATGTTTGTGGTTTCATGAATGCGAGCTGCTGTCAGCAGTCTCTGGGTGTCATTTTAACTTTCTAATCTTTCCTTTCCTGTCCCAAAGGCACAAGTCAAATCATGACAAATAAACTAGCAGAGAGTAAAAAAAAAAAAAAAAAAAGATGAATTGATAGATAGGGAGAGAGTGAGAGTGCTGAGAGTGGTCACATCACATGGCACAGCAGGAAGTCTTCCTCCAGTCAATCATAACCGTCAGCCTACTCAGCTTCCTGCACATCAAATCTCATTTGCTGCCTCTGCTCCCTGGCTGCTGCGGGTATAAAAGGGGAACGTGGGGATAATGTGCATTATTACTTTTATCCAATGGAAGTGAGGCAGGCCAATAATTTTGCAATGTTGGAGCTTTATTGTTCCCAGCTGCTGTGATCATTACTAAACGTCAAAGAGATGCAACATTTCCTGTCAACTTAACGACAGTAATCACTTCCCTCTCCTCTCACTGCGCTGAATACTCCACCACCCGGCCCAGCCCTGCGAGGTGTAGAGATGAGCCTTCTTCATCATCTTTATTGGATTCCTCCTCCAAACCAAATCATGGTAAACATGCACTGCATCATTTTCCCATATTTTCTCATATAGACTGACTGCCTGAGTGCAGCTGCTTGAATTATTGGCTAATAATAACTTCTCTGTCCGTTCTTAGAAATGTTCCTGAGTGAGTTACTGAACCTGCAGCACTTCCTTTTCCATGCCAAACCCCCCAAAAATCCGTCATGATCAATGTTGAGGTGCTTGGTAACAAGTTTTCTTCTTTTTTTTTTTCACCTCTCCCTTTTCTTCTTTTTTTTTTGTCTCCCTGTGTGTCTCATCAGGCAGGTGAATGCCCTGCAGAAAACACACACAAACACACACACACACACACACACACACAGGCTGACTTTACTTTCTGAAGGTGTTTTTAAGTTGGCGGGCGCTTCACAGGAATCACAGCTGAAGTGAGAGTGGGAGAAAAAGATCTGAGGGAGATGGTGAGGTTGCATCAAGTGGCACGAAAGGTTGCACACTGAACTGGCTTGGAGAAAGTTGCCCGGGTGTTATCAGCATCATGAGTTAGTTTCAAGATAGTTTCTCTGTGGTGTGAAAAGGATTTATTTTCCTCTGTTTGGTGCAATAAGAGTTATAAAGCCATCTTTGGCTTTACTATTTGACTACAAAAGACATTCAAATAACTTATCAAAAAGAACATCCAACTGTGCGGGTGTATTTATGCATACAATGTGCCCAAAAATCAGCATGTCATATTTTAAAATCCTAATTTCACAATATTCTAGCAGCATTACTGAAAATTAGTTGTCTCCTTAACATCAAACAGTGAGTGACCAGAGAAGGGGGATGGCGTGATCACAGGCGAATTGCCAGCAGTGTATCAGAGATATCAGTGCTACCAAAGAATGAGTTCATCTACCACACCCATAGCTGGCAGGATCTACATGATGATAAAAAAAGAAGTGGTTTTAGAAAAGCTACACAGCTGCACAGAAACTGTACATTACTGAATGCAATGGAAATCATCACACTGAGAGAAGACAAATAAAGCTTTTGCTTTGTTAAAGTTGTATTCCATACTGTACACAATGCTTACACCAAACTGTTATTAGTGATGAAATTTCCCTCATGTAAAATATTAATTCTGATTAATTTCTCCAAACCCAGAGAAAGTGCATGTTGGCGTGTATCTCTGCAGAGAGTTTGCTCTCTATCTGGATTTACTGATTTTTTTTACTAATGTGGTCAATTTATGGGAAAACAGTTGACTTTGCTGTCTCTCTCTTTTGCTCTCAGTATGTTTGCAACATGCATCAATGAAACACACATTTTGTAAACACCTTTCTGCTTGTTGGTGGTGCACAAGTGTGGACATGTTTCTGAGATTATCAGTGTGACTGCTGTAAAACAACCAAAAAGTAACTTCATATTTTCTGTTTCTCCACTTTGTTTTCTCTATGACGGTAGAGACATAATTTTTATACACATTGGTGCTTTTTAATACCGTCAAATTAAAAAAAAAAAACAGAGGTTACAACATTTTAAAGCACACTCTACACTGCCATGGCTTACACTGAGGATTTCCCAGTTTATTCACCTGTTGTTTGACCGATAAACTGGTGCATAATGTATTTGGGATGCTACATATCTCACATCAGCACAGTGTGGAAACATTTCCGCAGATGTAATTTTGACAAGGTGAAAGAATCAAATTCAAACATCATCAAAGAAACAGATCTCTTTTTTTTATTCTTCACGCAAACATTCCTCTTTCCATTCAGCTCTGTGTGTGCAATTGTGTGTGTGTGTGTGTGTGAGTGTGTGTGTTCATTATAAACTTTGCCTGGCTTTTGATCAGAGCCGCGGATGGTACTCCTGCCTGCTGCCCTGCTCCCAACACCCACATATGGGGTGTTAAAGAGAATTATTCATTGTTTTCACCACACAACAAAAGTGTTTGAGCTCAAAGAGCAGCTGCCTTCACATAGTTTATTCAACATTGCCGGGGCTCCAAGCCGCTCTGATGATTGGAGGTGTCCTGTTCATTGCCATTTACACTGGTGTGCTTATTAAAAATACATGGTGGGGAAATTAGCCAAAAGCATGTGAATTCAGATCAAAAGGAAGCTGTGCCATGTTTCAGTGGACCAAAGAGCGCATACAAACAAATCACCCGCTCAGCTGTTAAGTCATGGACACAGAAACTGAATAAGTTTGCAAACGCACACAGAGAGGTTTTCTCTCTTCATCATGAGACATTCTGACAATAAGAAACATTTGATACCCAGCAAGATGCTGTTAACTTTAATCTCTCTTTAATTGATTTAAAAGAAGCTGATATGTTACTTCTGCTCTTAATCAAGTTTTTTTTTTGGCAGCATTTAATAATTCGAGCCAGAGTGAGCAACATTCGCTGGTTGCAGCTTCTCAGTTACGAGAGCTTTGTTTTCATTATTTTCATATTTCACAGAAAATTTAATTACCCCAGGTTTCTCACTGCCAAAAGTAAACTGATAAAGTTAGTCTGGGCTGCGAAAAAACAGAAAAAAAAAATCAACTAATTCATCAAGAAAATAATCGCAAGATGACATTTTTATTGATTAATTAATTGAATGATTTCTTAACTCTTCTGGTTAATTACTTCAAATATGTGGTTGAACTGTTTTGTAACATAAGATGAATATTCACTCAAATGAAGAAATAT